CAGTCCTGGAGAAATGCAGCCCAGCGTCGTCTTGGTCCATAGCCTCAGCCTGCACTCCCGGTACAGCCGTGGCTTTGTGCTGCCTTAGCCAGGTTTGCCTCACCTCATCTCACTGGCTTCATGTTTATTCTCTTATTGTCAGTTTCAAAAGGATGTATCCTGCCTTTTCCCCCAGATCAGGGAATGGGGAATGGCTTAATGTTCTCAGTTGTAAAATGGAGGCTAATAACACCTCCAATGGTTGTCTGTGAGGACAACAGGAAGTGATGTTTCCTCTGCGAAGTAAAAGGGTAAATGGCCTCATCACATGGTGATCACAGTGATCCTTTCCAGAGATGCCCAGGTGTTGACTGTAAGCTCCCTGAGGGCAGGGGTGCTCTGTGTACATCTAGTCTGTTTCCCTAGGCTTAGTGGTTGACCTAGGCTATACCAAGAGTACATGTGTTTTTTAAATTAAATTTGAATCAATTCATTAAGCACTGCGAAATTGAACAACCATGTGAATGTAGAGATCCAGTAGTTAAGAGTCTACTGGGAGAGACAGCATAATAATTACAATAAGTGCAGAACTTGAAATAATATAATTGAAGTAATGGAATACAATCCTACTTAATGTTACACTATATTTATTTATTTATTTACTTACTTACTTATAGACTGAGCTCCTTGTCTATCTTATTCTTTGCTATGGCTCTAGCACCTTTGAACAGTGGTGCTTGGCTTTTGATAGGTGGTCAGGAAATGTATATTAAGTATATGAATTGATAGAATAAAAGGGTCTGCTGTGAAGGGTGTGAGCTGCTGGACAGTGGGCAAGGAAGGTTTCCTGGTGGAAGAGATAACTGAGTTGGGTTTTGATGAATGAATAGGAGTTTCCACAGACACACGGAGGAGGCAGAATGGAAGGGAAGAGGGGTTTTCCAGAAAGGAGCACTGAAGGGAAAGACTTCATTGCTTCTTTGGTACTCCAAAGCAGGCTTCCTTTGGCTTGGACTCTGATGGATCTAATGGAGGATTAAGATGGACCGTAGGTAGGAACGTATTTAGAAGGATCTCCTCTGGTTCTTTACTTTCCTCTTTGGAAGGAAGAAACCAGAGGGAATCCTTCTAAATCCTCCTAAAGGATCCCTTCTGGTTCTTCCCACCTCTCTGGTGATGAGGAAGGAGCTGTGTGCTCATTTGAAACCTACTGAGAACGTAGTGGCCCCAACGCCAAGTGTCTTATTGTAAATGTTTTCACTTTTACTGCAGTTACTTTAATGGTGCCTAAATGATAAATGTTAATAACAAAGCATTTTTGCTTAAGAAAGCACAATGGTATTAGCCTGCCAGACTGCAAACGTTATTTGCTTTATGGAAGGGGATTTCAAATAAGGGGTTTTGGTGGTTGTATTCTTGCCTCCACGGTTATTTATAGAGAAAGTATGGGCCATTGCATGTTTATACTATCTGTTTTTTATGGATGCCCAAGTTATTATTTTTTATTGGTTTGGGTACTTATTTTGCACATTTGTAAACAATTATGTAGTTACACAGCTGTTGTACCATAGAGGCCATATGCATTTCCATGTTAACAGAAAATTCCATGAGGGATTCTCACTGGATACCATCATAAAAGAATTATTGTGGTGCCAAAAAATTAAAAAAAAAAAACGACTAGCTCAGAAGTTATCATTGGGCTTTTACGGTATTTGGAGTTAAATGAATGTAATGTTTTTTGCTCACTTCAGAGTTGGAGACAAACTTTATAACGGAATATGAGGGTTCAGTCTGTTTCCCACAATTGAGCAGAAACATGATGTTTAACAGAAATGAATTTGCCAGTCAGAAGTATTTGTCTTTTAGAAAATTAATACACTGGGCCAAGCGCGGGTGGTACATGCCTGCAATCCCAGGCACTCTGGTGGCTGAGGTGGGAGGATCCCTTGAGCCCAGGATTTTGGGGCTACAATTGGCTATCATCATACCACAGCACTCCAGCCTGGGCAACGTAGTGAGACCCTAGAGATATGGCTTGGGAGACTTTCAGAAAAAGGAAGTATTCATTTAGGTGACACATATTTGTTGAGACCCTAATATATACCAGGAATTATTCTGTTGGTTCCTGTGGAGGAGACATGAGGAAAGAAGTGGCTATGACCGAGGCGGTAAAGGTGAAGAGTAGGAGAGGGGAAGATGGGGCTGACTCAGGACCTGAAGAAAATGGCGTCTGGGGCTTTTAAAAAATAATCTGAACTAACCACTCATTCAGCACATTTTTTGAATCTGTAAGATACCAGGTGCTCTGGGTAGCAGGGGGTTTGAGGGGGTGAACGGACAAGCAGAACTTATTTCCAGCAGAGCTAAAGGGTTTTGGTGAAGACTATGAGCCCCCATGACCCACACCTGGTTTCAGAAATCCAGGTCCCTCGTGTATCATCTGTGTGATTGTGGGTGATCACTTTCCTCCCAAAGCCCATTTTCTTGCCTTGACCTGATCACAGGAAGAGTCACTCAAGGTAACGTGTTTAGCCCATAGCCTGGCACATGGCCATCCACACAAAATGAGTGACCATGGCTGAAGGGTCATTCTGGGGAGACTTCCCCGTGGAAGCCCCGTGAACCAGCCCTGCTCATTTCTTTTCTGAGACCACCATTTGCTAAATCTTCTATCCATTGAGGCGGGATCAGGGAAGGAACGAAAAATCAAAATCTTGCCTTAAAGGAGTGCTTAGTTTCAGGTGGACAGTCACATGTGCACTGGAAAAGAGCAAATGTTATGGCAGCCCTCCAAGGAGGAATGTCTATATGAAATGCCAATGAATGGGAGATGTGTATATTGGTAATTAAGAAGGAGGAGGGGAACTTTAAATAAGATTATTTTAAAAGGAAAGAGATCCTTTTGTACTTTAGAAGAGTATTTTTGAATAAGCTAGTCAGGTAAGTTAGATTGTTTTATCTTAAACTGGCTTATGATATTTCCATATATACTTATTTCCTCTGAAGTATATTGGTAACATTTGTAATTTACCAAATGGAAAATATCACTTAGCTTTAAGCTGCATCATGTTAAGAATACATTTGTAACCAGGGGTATTATCTTTTTCTCTTATTATAACAAACACCAATCAAAAATAAAATGAACAAATACATGAAGGAATGAAAGAAAACCCCGCGTTTATTGGCAGGCTTTTTCTGCAAAATATTATTTGTGTTCCTTTGCTGTTTTATTCATTTTTAGCACGTTTTCACCAAAGTGTTTTACTCTAAGCTAGTCTCAATTCAATTTAAAGTGAAAGGTTTTTTTTTCAGTTTAGATAATTTACATATAAAAGCGTTACTGTACATTTTATAAAATGGCTGTGTTCAGAAAACAACGATTTCAATTTAATCGTATTGTTATTCTGCAAGGTGAAATGCCTCAGTCTTGCTTCTTGGTCTTTCTTACAATATTGCTTCTTGTCCTAATTTTAAATGGTTAGTGTTTGAAAATTGATGTGCTTCTTTTAGACTCCACCAGTAAGACTTAAAGCCCGCTGTGATTTGTCTGATAGACTTGAAGATTATGTGCGTGTGTGTGAGACGAGAGAGTCTTAACAATCATCTGAACATGACAGGTAGATAGTTCTTTCTAAATTATTTTCTTTCTTCTCACAGGAAATTTTGTTTGCCAATGGTCGTATCTGTTAACATAAAAACTAAAAACTTATACCTCATTTTGTATTTTGCAATTTGTAGTTTGCAGTGTTTTTTTTTTTTTTTCCTCCTTTTTCTTCTGTCTTTTTTTCTTTTTTTAATGACATTGTTCTTCTGGAAAAATCCTTAGGAACCAGTTACTCTATCTCAGGATTTTATTTCATAATGTGTCTTTGAGAAATAGAGCCAGATGCTTAGAATTTCAGACCACCATATTTGTCCTAGGAAACCTGCCAGTGTTTCAGATTCTTGACCCTTGAATTGAATATAAAGCTCTCACTGTACAAGAGAAAACACTCGAGTTTTATGAGTCTGCAAGCTTGGTTTACACTATAAATTTCCACAGTTCTCTGCTTGTCTCTTCTAGAATTTCGGGTTATTCTCAAACTCTATTAAACAAGCAGTGCCCAAATGGCTTCCCCCAAAAGCATATTCAGTAATTTCTTGGGGAGAGAATAAGCAGCTGTTTAAACAGGAGCCACAAAGATGCATTAAAATTAATTTGGTCCTAACCAAAAGATAAGTGCCTCCCCCATCCTCAGGATGAAACCAAGAGCTTGTGTCCATCAGCAGGAGAGCCAGGGGGACGCTGATCAGGACTGAGCCAGGAGGCTTGTCTTTCAGCAGGTGAATTTACTATTGCCAACTCCTGCATCTTATTAGTCTATAAGATTGAGGTCGTTTATTGGTGATCACTTGTAGATATATATTTATATAAATCTCTTAGCCCAGAATCTCCGTAAACTGTTTTTCATGATTTGGGTACCACGTGGGCTATGTCCCACAATTGGCAAATGCCATAAATATGTTACAGACCATTATGCTTTCTACAGTATCTTTAATTTATATGCCCCATTTCTGAGAAAAAAGTAGTTTTTCATGATGAAGGTGATGAATGACTTCTTTCCATCATTCTGTGTCCCCATTTTCTTCTTCAGGCTTTAAAGACACTGTGATACCATTTATATTTTCTGGTTAACTGTATTTAAAAATCTTTATAGTGAAAACAATTATTCTTATTATTATTGTATGAAGATGTTGCCAGCAGGAGGGTATTGAGCTGTCAGACAAAGTGCTCTCTAAAGTGTTCAGCTATCAGACCTAATACTCTGTTGATGGAGCAGGGGTTGGGGGTGGGGAGAATCAGAGTATTGTCCTTTCTCTAGAAGCCATCAGTGGTAAGTCTAGGGCAGTCTGAGCCACTTACGTTAGAAATATTTTTTATTAAGTAGGACATATGCTTTGAAATCTAATTCTTACGTCACTGGCTGTGTGACCTTAGAGAAAGAAATTAACCTCCCTGAGCCTCTCTGAAATACTGAGTGACCAATAGCATCCTCACAGAGTTTCTCTGGGGATTGAATGGGAGATTATATACACAGGGCCAGGCACATAACAGGTCCTCCAAAGATATCCCCCCTCTCCCTGTCCTACTAATAAAGAGGCCCTCCCTTCTGTCCAGATGAACAGGCAGGCAGAGCAAATGCATACATGCATAGGAGCTAGAATTGTTGATAACATCACAATCACAGGAAAGTCAGCTGTGTAAATGTGACTTTCCTTTGCTACTTGTCACCCACTAAGGAGCTATGTGTGCAAACTATTAAATTAGCATCTAGCCACTCTTTTTCCCTAGAAGGTGGTGTTTTGAATATTAACACCTTTTTAAATCAAGAAAGCTAAGCCTTTGACCAGTATTATATTTGGTTTTATGTGCACCTGATTAAAGTCATGATCATGATATTCTAGTCCCAAAGGAGACCGAGGAAATGACTGGCACATGGCTTACTCCATATCTGTCCAGCAGAGGACCCCAAGGCACGATGACCACACCTCCTGTAGTAGTTAATGGTCACTGACTCTGGGGTCAGATGGAATTGGGGTTCAGTCCTAGCTCTGGCACTTGCTAATTGTCTGATGTGACTTTGGGCAACTTTAGCCAATGCTCTTAGTCTCAGTTTTCTCATCCATAAAATGGAGATCGCAGTATCTAACTTACGGAAACGTTTGAGGATTAAATGACAGAGAAATCTCTGAAAAGTGACCGTAGGAAATAAACAGCAGTTGTCAAGTGGTTGGCATAGTTCCTGTCACATGGGAAACATCCAGTAAGTAGTGGCATCTGTTGTGATTGTGACTGTATTTTATTCCACGGAATTCAGTAAGAGTACAAAGCAAGGAGTTTTTCTGCCTCTCCAGTAGGTGTAGTATATGTCTGATGACTGTGTGGGCTTACCCACTGGTTAGTGTAATGGAAAGATGAAAAACAGTAGAAGAGGGTTATCACTGGAGCACAATTTAAAGAAACTATATATATTTTTCCTCTAAATAAACAAAGGATTAGAAATGATGTGAAGCCAGGAGTTTTTCTGCCTGTCTAGTAGCTGTAGTACGTTGGTCAGTATAACGGAAAGACTAACAAGAGTAGATGAGGGATGTAACGGAGCATGATTTAAAGGAACTATAGTTCTTTGTTTTTTTCTTGAAATATCCAAAGGAATAGAAAATGATGTGAAGAGCTGGGTGTGGTGGCTCACACCTGTAATCTCCGCACTTTGGGAGGCCGAGGCAGGAGGATTGCTTGAGCCTAGGAGTTCAAGATCAGCCTGGGCAACATCGTAAAAACCTCATCTCTGCAAAAAGTACAAAAATTAGCTAGACGTGGTGGTTCATGCCTGCTGTCCCACCTACTTGGGAGGCTGAGGCAGGAAGATTACTTGAGCCTGGGAGTTTGAGGCCGCAGTGAGCCATGATCACATGGCTGCATTCCAGTCTGGGTGACAGAGCAAGATTCTGTCTCAGAAAAAAAGAAAATGAAGTGAGGAAGCCCAGGATCCTGAGTACCAGGATTAAGCTGCATTAATACTGAGTAAGTAAAAGTGAAAGCCCATCCAGTTAACTGCTGGCCTGCCACTGGCGTGCAATGTTTCCCTCTTACTGTCAGGCTTTCTTAGCAGCAACAAAATATTTATTTTTTCTTAATATTGTAAGTTTATGCCATGACAACATATTAGAATCACCTGGGAAGATTTTAAAAATCTCAGGATCATGAAGCATGGTTTCTTGCCTTTGGAGTAAATGTTTGTCAACGTGGCTTTTCCTAAAGAGCCTTCCCCTCTGAGAAGTAAGGCAGGAGAGGGGTGGGTGACCACAAGATGCCCTCATAGTGCCAGGCTATGATTGTAACTGAACTGAAGCCACAGTGCAAGCCTGCCACCTTGTCCTTATCTGCACGTTTCTCTGCTTTCAGCTTCGTCTTCTTCTCTTCATGCTTCCCCACCCTGCAACCCCCACATTTTTTCAGCCTTGATTCTGAGCCCTCTTTTCTGCCTCTCAGGGATTCTGAGAACATTCTGTAATGCCGGCAACCTTTCTGCTAATCCGGCCATTGGCTCTCTGTCTGGGGTCACTGCTGACAGTTGTTTATTGCATTCCCACCTCTGCCAAGGTCAAAAGTGGAACTTGCTTCTTTTTCTTGTCTCAATCAGACTAAGCAGTTGGTATAACAGATAACCCCCAAATTTCAGTGATTTCACATTTAATCTGTAAGAAATGAGGATTTATTTATAGCCCCAAAGACAGTCTAGGGTGGGTTATTTCAAGATCTAGACCTCACCTGCCCAGTGGTTTCACCATCCATCCCCCATGGCCTCCATGGTACCCCTCATTCAGGCTCAGCAGGAGCAGGAGAGGATGCACGAGACTACATGTTTTCTGGGCCAGGACTGAAAGCAGCATACCTCAGGTCCAGCCTCTTTCCCTTGGCAAAAATTCAGAATGTGCAGAATGAGGAGAAAAATGGGAGTCGTGACTATTTAGCCTGTCTTCGGCTCCTCCCAATTTGGATCTCACCCCTTCATTTATAACCTATAATTAAATCTTTACTGAGTACCTGTCACCGATGGGGTGTCTTCCAGGGTCTCTGGTCACCAGCAACAAACAAAGCCCCATGTGGTAAAATATAGTGGTTGGATTCTATTATCCCTGTGGTTAACTTGCATGAAAATAAGAGCGTTTTCATTAATGTAACTTTTAGCAGCAACTCCTAAGAATAAATTTTCTTTGCTTCCTTCATGCTTTCCCTGTTGCAGAACAAGTTAAGGTAAATGCCTTTTAGCACATTGCAGCATCATTATGATAAATAGTTAGTTATCAATATTATTGTGGTTCTTTATCGACATTATTGCAGTCTGTTATTTACAGTCCTTACATTATTTAGGATAGGAATTTGGAGACACAGACCCACTTACATGAAGTCCTCTAGTGAAATGACAAAAATCCCCAGAGCTGGGAAAACACTTCCTTGCAATTCCCTCTCAGTTTATTTCCAAATCATCTCATCACCTTTGAGATTGAAGCTCTCACTCTGTAAGCTCTGAATAAATATTAGCCAACCATCTCCCGAACCCTCAAGGAGACAGTTTCTGGGGAGCAGTGATTTGATGATTTGATGAAGTTTTGTGTGTGTGTTGAGTTTTTCAGATGTATCTCTATCCAATTCTTTTCTCCAAGAGTTCTTCAAGGACAATCGTGTCGCTTTTTTTCTTCTTGCGTCTCTGGATTCTGAACACCTAGTAACAATTACAAGCACATAGTAGGGATTTTACAGGTGCTTCTTGCATTAATGCACTCTATTGGTGATATGGTTTGGCTGTGTCCCCACCCAAATCCGTCTCTATTAAACATACAAAAATTAGCCAGGTGTGGTGGCAGAAGCCTGTAATCCCAGCTGCTCAGGACGCTGAGGCAAGAGAACCACTTGAACCCAGAAGGCAGAAGTTGCAATGAGCTGAGATCCAGGCTGGGCAACAGAACAAGACTCCATCACAAAACAAAACAAAACAAAACAAATGAAGCTTCTGATCAGAAACGGCTTTGCCACTCTACTCTGGTCCTGGCGATACGAACATGTCACCCAGGCCTGCTCGTGTACGTGTTTCCCAGCCCACAACGGGTCCCGATGAAAGCAGAGACCAGAGAGGAAGGAGGGACATAAGGCCTGGGTCCTGAATTCCTGTTCCCGGGGGCCCTGGCACTGCTGCTCTAGTTCATGAAGGATTCCCTTCCATTCTGTAGACTCTCTTACCTTTCCCTTAAATTCTTCTTTTTAGCTTAAGTCAAGCTTCTTTCAATAACAACAGAAAGAGTCCTGGCTAATAAGTAGCGCTGTGTAGAGAGGACTTGGACTGGGACTGGATTCCATGGGAGACGTCAGCTCCTTGTCTGTCTGGTAGTGAGACGGGGAACGGTAGGGTGCGGCCTTCCTGTGTGCCTGCCTTGGTCTGCGTCAGTGCTTCTTGAATATTTTGGTGTCAGGACTCTAAAACTCTTAATAATTATCCAGGACCCACAAAAGAGCATTTGTTTATCTGGGTCATTTTTACTGATCTCTGTCACACTAGAAATTAAAATAGGAATAATCAAATTCTTTATTAATTAATTTAAAAATAAGAAACCCATTACATGCTAACATAGATCCGCCTCCCTTCCTCCCTCCCTCCTTCCTCCTTCGTTCCCTCCTTCCTCCCTCCCTCCCTTTTTCATTCCTCCCTCCCTCCTTCCTC